CAGATAGGTTTGTATGTACGAGCGGGTAAATTTGCTTTTTTTATACTCAGAATCACAATTTGGAATGTAAAGAACAACATATTATACAGTTATTTGTTTTATTAGGAAAATACCATATACATAAAAAGAATTGGGCTTTTTTCACATTTTATAAATGACTCACATTATATGTACATCTCTTGGAACAAACTAAAAACAAAAAAGCAATGAAAACATGTAATGCTTTGAAAGCACTGGATCTTATGTAAAAAAAATTGTATTTTTTATTTCCTGGCAGCTAATGTTAATGTGATATTGTGAATATGTAAAACCTCTTGTTCTTGTGGCATCGAATAAAAAAAAAAGTCAGTGAGAGCGGTCGTGAATCAGTGTTTTCGGTAGTTTTTGTATTTTAATTTATCATCGTCATGGTAAATTATTGTGTTTGTGGAGGTTGCAAAAACTCCGGCCTGTCAGGACATCGAGTCCACAAGTTTCCTAACAAGAAAAGGGACGGTGCTGCTGTATATCTTTCGTGCCTGTGTGCGGTTTGTGCAGCTGTAGAGACAGGATTTCTCTTCTGCATCGGCTTCGAAAAACGCGGTCGTGTGTAGCGTACACCAGATCGGAGGAACACAAACGTGTATATCAGGAATAAAAATATCTATCTGTCTCTCGATGAGAAAACGCTAAGTTATATCATGTAACGTTAGTCTGGATGGATATTAATGAGCATGACATACGCGCCTGATCAAAGCTTATAGTTTATTCTGTTATTGGTAAATTCCAATACTCCTAGATGACCAATAATAGCTTTGCTATTAACTGATATACAATGGTAATAATCTGTACAATATTGTGAGCACAATGTATATCGTTAGCGAACGTGTATAGGCTATATCTATAAGTTAGCAGTGGTCTCTCACCACGACACCTGCCGTGGCGGCGTTTCAAATATGGCATTCCCCTCTGTGCATGTAGAACAACGACATTATCGAACGATATACACCTCACATTTAACCAAACAGAATGAACGATGCACTATTAACTCTATTACACTATTAATTAAAACTCACAGTGAACAGCATTAAATATAAAAACACATATGCCTTACCTTTTTGTTGCAGTGCAGTTTTTATTGCATAGGCCTATATATAATGTTTTGCCGACAGCACAGTCCTCTTTTTTTTTTTTTGCTGCTTCCATTCTCCTGATTGCTATTATTTAATTTAAAAACATCCAGGGAAGATTGAATAGGCCTGTTCTTTTAATGTTTACTCAGTATCTGACAGCTAGGCTAATCAAAAATAGCGTGATTAAGTGATGCAATAAACTGCGGCTGCGCACACTCACTCCACGCAAGTTTTTTTTATAATAATACTTTTGCAATAATGTGTGTCTCCTCTGACCGTTGTTCTGTCTAACATTAATCCTGGCCTGTCCCTGCTCTCTCAGCAGCATAGCAGGCTCATAATTGTAAGGCTGTCGTCCGTGGTCTGTCATAGGAGTAAGTCCGAAATGTCATTGCGATCCATTGTTTTCCTGTTGTTTGAATGGTTTGAATCGACCGCTCTCCCGCCCGTTACGTCACGCCCGTCACGCCCATTTTCAGATGCGGAAGTAAAATTCTCACAAAAACGACTCCAGAAGCCAATGTAACGTATTTATAAGTATATTTTAAAGAAAATCTAATTACTACATTGTTTTTCTATACATTGACTCGTTGGGTCCTCTAACCTGCAATATGCCCTTTAAAAGATAATTATGAAAGTCAAGAAAGTCACAGTTTGTCATAAAACAGAAGAGTAACATTTAATTTTATGTGAAAATCGCTCAATGAACTACATCTCCTGGGAAGCGAAACAACGAGCAAGATCCGTTGCTCGTATGTGTGCAGTCTGGTACAAATACAAAACACTCAGGCGTTACGACTATAACGTAAGACTATAGAAGAAATATCAAACTGCGACTTTCTTGACTTTAAAATGTATCTTTTAAATTGACAAACATCATATGTGTAATTCAGGGCACAATTCAAACGAGATCAAAATATTTGTTGTCTCTCGCCATTGACTACCATACAATATTTTTCCGAAATAAGGTCCCATGGTGATCGACCGGAAGGGGAGGGACTTAGGCTCTCTATGCCCGAACCAAAGCTGTTCGGACCAATCAAATTGTCAGGGCGGGCTTTATACGATGATGGACAGATGATCAACAGTAACGTAATCATCCACGTCACCAAAGAGTGCTTGGGTTGAATTCGTTTACAACAAAGAATGGCTGCCGCTGGAGAATTTAGATGTGTAGAAGATTCAGCCATTGCATCTGTTATAGAAGATCTATACAGCGCATTCATTTTAAAAGAGGAACAGAGAACCGCGATCATGGCATTTGCCAATCGGAAAGATGTTTTTGCCGTCCTTCCTACGGGATTCGGTCTATCCAATTGAGTGCAGAGGCATTTTTTTTCCTGGTTCGGTTGAAACACGCCCCATAATCACAACCCAATGGAGCAGTATCAGACTCACAATCTGACTAGAATCTGAGTATGACAACGTCAGGCTAGTGAGAAAGAGGCGCTGAGCCAGTCGACACACTGCACGCAGCTCTACAATTAAGTATGATTTTACCCATTTTAAATAATGAAAAAAAAAGGCTTTTCTATCATAGTCTACAAAGTCATTAACTAAAAAAATTTTTAACACGCAACTTTTGGATGAGTCAGCTAGGCCTAATCAATTTTGTTTAACTACAACCTAAAACATGATGAAGCCAAAGCTGTCAAGCACTGTCAACTGTCAAGCGTGTAAAGTAACAAACAGAGTCAGCATTGCACATGCATCTCACATGAAGGGCCAACCTCACCCAAACCCTGCCCGAATACTTTCCACATTACTCCCAACATCAATTGCTGTCTCCGTCAAGGCTGGTGCTTGTGAATAAAATGCAACGTGAGCGAAATCATTTGTTCTCAGGCAGTTGCAACTGAGTGGTTACTGACATCCCCAAAAAATGCCATTGAAAGCATTACTAAGAAAGCTATTAGGGCTGGGCGATATATATCAAACAATCCCAATATATTCACAATGATTTTGCTGACAATATAAAATGAAGCAACATTGTGAATATTGCAATGATTTTATTGCGCTTTTTATTTGGCTACAGTACTATGTTACTATAACTAGTTGTTGTGCTTCTTTGTCTCATGACTTCAAAAAAGACGACATGTTTTAATAGCATCTCTGAGTTTGCTCCTTCATTCATTACTAATCAGTTCAAACAGCTTCAATGAATCAATTCAAAACAAATTCAGCAATTCATTTGCATCACCACTCAAATGCTTAGTTTATTAAATTTTTGTTAAATATATATGCAAATAAATACTGATATTTATTACTCTGTTTTGTTACATTGGTGTATATAAATAACATGATTTAATAGCATCAATTTAGTGAAAAAATTGCCTTGATTATTTGTCACTGGTTTTTTTCTTTAAATTCTCACATTACATTTTGCATCTCATTTGAATCTACTTAGTTACAGTATCTGTGTGGTTGTTGAAATGATGGTTTCTCTGTTTGGGTGGAAAAAAATATGAAGAAAATACATTAGAGTTAAACATTGAATTACATCAAAAGGCTGATAAACTATCATTTTAACTATCACCAGTCCTAATGGCTGTTATTAAATACAATCCATTCATGGTATCACATAGCAACTGGCTGAAACATGAGTTCAAATGAGGCTGTTCATGAAAAATGTGCTCCCAGTACCTCTCAATCTAACGCTCAAATTATGTGACTGCAAAACACTGAGCCTTAGAATTCACAACACATGCATGATGTCACAGCATTGAAATGAATAGAAAAAGTAGCAGAGCTTCGCTTCATGAAGCTAACTGCTTGACATAATTGCTACTCTATGTTTACAAGCTGCTTGAGGAAGTGACATCAAAGATAAACAGCCTCTGAACACTGTCAAAATAATATATCAATCATCAACAAAACCTACGCAAAACAAAAAACCGATGGGCGGCTCTGCCTCAGCACTGCAATGCTATGAGGTCAAGGCGAATTTTTTGAAATACAAATCTCTCGTAGTTGCTTCTTAAGAGGATTTTTGGCATGATTCCCATGAAACACTTTTGTCTCCATTAATTTCCGGTGTTAGAGTTAGATATTCTTAAAACATAAAACCAGTAATTGAGTATAAGCCATCACATTTCACCCTAGTCTTCTTAAATGTCTACTGTAGACAGCATTCAATATAAGACACCTATTGCATAAATAATCATGTATAAATATAATAATAACAACAACATTAAGGTCAGACTGAGTTCTGGTAACAAAAAAAAGACCATAACAAAAATGAATATGAAAATTTGCCTGCCACCTACACCTTTAAAGGGCTACCCAAAAATTTTATTTCTGACATCAAACCAAAAGGACTTTCTTTTGCATTAGCTGTAACTACCTGGAAAATATTTCACCAAGCTTATTCTGTTCAACAAAAGAAAGACATACAGGATTGGAACAACATGTTCTGGTGCTGGTTGAGGAGAGACCCCCTGATATGATTGTAAAGCGCTTTGGGTGTACAGTAGTACATATGAAAGCGCTATATAAATGCCTCATTCATTCATTCATTCATGTGGGTGAGCAGATGATGACCGAATTTTCATTTCTGGGTGAACGAATGCTCAATCATCTTCCAAGGACGTGGACACAAACTGAAGTCTCTCATTGTGTCTGATCTTGGAATATGTCAAAAAGGAAGGCCTGTAAATGTTCCAGTGACCTCAAAAGCCTGCTCTGTTTTGCTTAAGGGATCGATTCAACCCCTCAATTCTATGCCAGACAACTGCCTGAAGGAGAATTCCAAAAGAAAAGCCCTTGCTTTATAACCCATAATACTCAGCCCACTTGAAACATCACCCTGTACCATTTACGGTCTTAATAAGTCCATCAAACCTGCAGAAAATTACAGTTAAGCATTTAAATGGTATAAAATGCTCTTACCTTGAAGTTGCTGGAGTTAACCCAAGATGTGGCGATACCGTCCACCATTTTATCCAGCGCAGTCTGGTCACTCTCCAGGTCGTGACACTTGTCTGAATCTGTGATGTAGTCGATGAGCTCCGGACCCATCTGCAACCTGCGGGCCACATCCTTCTGTAGCACCTGAGTCAGACAGTACTCCATATTGGGTTCCATGGCCTACGATGTCCTGCCACCACCCGTGTGGCAGTGGAGAGGAAAAACTAAAAAAAAAAGGCCTTTAGCGTGTGCAATCCAGGCAAAACAAGAGCACACGCTTTTTTTTTTTTTTTTATATCCCGTGTTGATGAATCCTATGAGTGCCACAGGGTGGCAAGAAGCTGAGCGGTAGGGATGTCGACTCGGGAATTCAAACGATGCACCATATGTGACTAGACAACAGCTGATGAGGACTGCAAATTCTCCTTTTTGTCCCTTTAGAAGGCAGCCAAACCACTAGCAGCGGCAGCAGCAGGAGTTGTGGTAACTAGAGCAGGAGAGAGAGGGTCCGGCGGAGCATTGCTTCATAATTCAGAGGTCCTCCCTGCTCAGGATGAGAAAAGAGCTATTAGTCGAGTACCACCTCTGGACATCAAGTGCCAGTGCGGCAAGACCTGCATTTCTGTCAGCTCAGATCAGCGGCCACTTATGAGAAAAGCAGAAAAGCCCTTTGATGGTGGTAACATAACTCAAAGTCCGGATTGCATTATCTTAACTATTTGTTTGCTGACCACCACGCATCAGCTGCACTCCTTTGTGGGATACAGCAAGAGAGGAATTCCACTTGGGTTAAAGGGATAGTTCACCGCAAAATTAAAACTGTCATTAACTTAAACCCATTTACTTAAACAAAAAGGACACATAACAGTAGTACATACAATTTGAGTACTATATTCAAAGCCTTTTGAAGCCATACAATAGGGGTACAACGGTTCAAATTACTCACGGTTCAGTTTGTATCACGGTTTTAGGGGTCACGGTTTCGGTACGATTCGGTATGTGCTATGTTCAGGGGAAAAAGGACTACCGTCAAATAAAAATAAAGAAAATAAGAACAAATAATCTAACTACAAGCAACAGAACAAATAAATACAATATAGCAAAGATATAAATAAAATAAACAGTGCTTTTCAGGTAGGTCTTATTAATAACAGGTTATTAGTTTATAGTATTAAAGTAAAAGCTATTCAGTCTAAGGCAGTGAGTGTTTTCCTTGTCTTTTGTTGTTTGATTAACATTAAAAACACAGACAGCAGGAATATTATCTTGCTGTCACTTTAAGATATAATGCACGGATCCAGTACACACTGATACATGTTTTGACTGTTTCGTTCACTTAAGACGTAACCAACTATGTCTGCTAAGATACTCACCAAGAAGTGCATGTTGACATAATATTTGAGTGAATTTGTCCATTGAAGCGCAAGACAAGGACTCAATATTTGCACTTGCAAGTTCTCATTCGCGTCTTCTGGCTCTTAAATGTATAGTAAATATAGGCAAGGCTTAAATGAGTTTAATTTAAACAGATTGAAACAAGTGCTGTTCACTGCGTAAATGACTGGTCATAATCGAGCTTACGGCAATCGCATTGAACAAAGTTTACAAAGAAAGACTGTTTTGTCACCGTTTTTTGTTTTGTTTTTTGGGATCATCGCTGTTGTAATGTATTGGGATCCCAGAATGTGTATCCTTCGACATAAACATGCATTAGCAGAACTTTGTCTGACTGTTTTACGCGTTGTTATTTTCAATAAACCATATTATAGAAGCGTTGTCAGATATAAGGTGAACCGCGGTGCAAGAGAGTGCCGAACCATGGGTGGATAACGGTACGTTTTGATTTTTTTTACAGAGAACCGTTACACCCCTACCATACAAAAATTGTCTATTGTCATAGCGTATCGATGTATAAAGCACAACTGACACCAAAGTCACTTTCAAATCATCCACCTTTTTGTTGGTCACCTTGAACATGAGTGAAATCTGCTTAGGGAACGCAACACTCCCAAACGCGCAGATTCCAATTGAAATTAGTGGATTTTGTCTGCGAAATTTGAATTTCACAGAACAACAGTATAAGTGACCGCACCTTAATAGACCAAATTTTTAAAAGAGCTTCATTAAGATTCTTCAAAATTTCTCCTTTTGACTTGTACAAAAAACTAAAAACAGTTTGGGTGAAAACATAATGACTATAGAATACTTTAATTTATAAGTTAACTATTAGAGTTAAAGCACAATAATTTTAAGATTTGTAAATATTCTGTAAAATCATTATGCAGAAATTATACATTGAGCGAACTACTGGAAACTAGTAGGTGACGTCAAGCTTTGTGTTACACACCACAACAACAGTAATGCCATCATTAGGATACTGCATTGAGACAAAAATCTCCTAAGGCATCATGGGAATAATCTGGCTGCAATCACAGTTGGTCACCGCAAAGTGTATTACTCTGTTAAGTAGATTACCTGATGCTAGCATGAATCCAATTTTTCTGAAAGACTTCATGAAATGAGCAGCAAAAAATGTACTGTCCATAGATCAGGGCAGAACACTGAAAATGTTCTTAAAAGAGCCTTACAATTCCAGTTTCAGGATCCAAATAATGTTAATAATAATAATAATTAAAAAGGAAAAGAGAAAAATGACAAAAAGTAAAATTAATGTTTTGCACAAACTAGTTCCTGCAGACCATCAAAACAAATATGAACTGATTTTTAAATTCAACTTTTTCACTCAAATTATTATGCAGACTCAATACAGAAAAATACAAAACAGATGATTTTTTGTATGTTGATTTTTGTAACAATGATTCACTAGTGGACTCATTGTATATGTGTGTTTTCTGTCTTACCTGTCACAAGCGGATTTGTTTTTGCTTAGTTTACAGTACAAGTCTGTGCCTGTACCACAGTATCTAAGCTACACAATGGTGGGAGGAGACCTAGCCTAATTCTCCATAGATTCAAATCTGCACACAGGAGTTCATCTTTGAGTCATCTCATCAGTGATGGCACCTTAATGTAAAACACACACACACACCGCATAACAATTCAATGATGTCGAGCATGATTTACCTATGCCTCCCTCAAACATACATCACAGGCATTTGATACATCAATACTCTCCAGTATTTGGTGAAAACGTGTTATATCAAAGCAAAATCACCTTGTATATACACAACAGAACTGATATACTACACAAAGAAAATGTTTAAATTAAAACAAGTAACTTAGTCTCAAACAAAGTGAATGACAGATCATACATCAGCATCAATGTAATTGAAGCTCACGTAGTATCTGTCATTCACCCTAAATGAAGTCCAGGCTTTAAAAGATCTTATTGTCTATTATATACGCTAACAATTCAAATACCACCACCCTTTTTATGAAATCTGAATCAGTATTTAATTATCAAGTGTTTTCGGATCATATCTGGATGATTTTGTTTCTTTTTCATTGATCATCTAGCCGGTTATGCTAGCTCTTACTAGCCGACCGAATAAATTGTAAAAACTCCGGCGATATACACCAAGCCGGCACATGTAAACGACAAGCTTGGTTGAAATAATAGGTTATTTACTCACTCTGCCGAATCTAGCGATGGTTGCTGTGTGAAATGACACGGGTTGGTTTACTAAAGGTAAACGAGGTTTGTCTCTGTGGTGCTGGCTGCTCCTGTAGACACAATGATGGAGCCGGAATGCGCATGCGCCACACACCTCTGTTCTATTATCGATTTAATGTACAATCCGCTTACAGCTTTGATACAAACGATATACCATGACAAACATGTTTCTTTTTATGCCTTTATGATTTTCCCAGCAATTGTTTAAAAATGTGGGGTGTGCCTTTGTCCCTTTGTTATGCATGTCTGGGAGTCATTTCTCTAAAAGCACCTTTACCTTTGTAATTAGCGATTTTGGCTCTTATTTTTGAGTGCTTATCTACACAGTGACCAACATCTATTTTGTTTACATCCGCATATTAGAAATCCTCTGGTTTCCTTCTGTCTCGCAGCCACATGGTTATTTTTCCTTGTGTTACTAAAACAATGAACCTTTATGGCAAGCCAATTTAACATTGATTCCTCAAAAATATAGCATATTAGTTACTGGTAGACTATGCATTTAATTCCTAGAAAGCATTCTAACAGCGACAAGCACCTTTCATTGTTTCCAACTAGTTAATAGACACTAGTTATTAAAAATGTGTTCCTTTTGGGAACTTTTTAATTAGACTTTTATTGAATTCATCTTCAATCATTTTATAAAAATATATAGAACTCAATGGACCCATTTCAGACTGATGACGCATTTTAATGGTTATTATCAGCATCGTAAATCCTGCAGTTTTTACGTTTTCATTTGAAAAAAATGTATGTACATTTATAATACTATACTTTTTACATTTGTATAATAGAAAAAATTGCAATTTGGCATTGTAATTTACCATTAACAAAAAAATACAGAAGTACTTAAGACTATTTAATAGATGCTAGTTGCTACTTTACAGTATCGAATGAACAATTTGACTTTAACTAGATTACCGGTATTAAAATAGTTACATGTGTACTAGTAACACAAACATATTAGTACATTTTAAGAGAAACAATGTTAATACGGCTTGCCATAACATTAACCTAAAACAATAGAAACACGTTGCTCCATCTAGTGGTTGTTCTGAGAAGAGCACTTTTTATTGATATCCTTTTTCTCCACAATCCTTTTTCTCCACATTACCACTTAACTTACATGTAAGCACCTTCAGGGGGACGATTTACACAAACCATTTAGTAAAAATTGCTGTAAAAAGCATTAAAAGATATTTATTTGATACACCTTTATTGGTTTAAGCACATTTTAACAATTTTGCAAAGCTACATGTCTGAAGATAGTACTGGACAGTATACATCATACCAACATTTGTCAGAAATAGAATGATATCCATCCTGCCATTTAATTTTCCAAGTAACACTACACATCTAGTGTGTGTATTGCACAATCAATCTGATTTTAGAAACCTCTGGGAGACCACATTGTCCCCATAAAGGTCACAGATACAACATCTGCATAAAACACCTAAAACCAACAGATTGTTAATGACTATTGACAGGATAATGTGTTTGGTCCTCTTCTTCTCCAGCCGTAGGGGAGGACTGAGAACTTATCACATATAAACGGCTCTGAAAGTGAGTCCAGTGTCCCTTCTAAAAACAAGGATTGAAGTCTTTTTATTAAGCTGTTTGTTCCTCCTCAGTATCATCCTCGTCATCAGACTCTTCCTCGCTATATTCCACATCCTTGCTGTCTTCTGGGGCTGTTTTGACTTTGATGATTATTTCGTCATCATCATCCTCATTCTCAACTCTGATCGACTTCCTCCTCTCCAAAACTGATGGGGTGCACACTGGAGTGATATCCTAAATGCAAATAAATGGTCTTTAAACACTAACAGTGTAAGACTACATATCTTAGACATTTTCTACAATAACTGTTGGCACATGGGTTTCATTGTGAGTCACATTGACTGACAATAAGCTTAAAAATGTACCATTTTCTGTTGGCACAATTATCTTACTTCAGTCAATGGTTACAACTGAGGTAATTTTCAGTATGTGCCAAGGCTATGCACAAAATCAGTGCAGAAAACGAACCAAAAAAATAATTAAAAGACATGAGCATACCTCACTGCATACGGAAACATCTGCTTCTGATTGAGACTTCTTTGCAGGAATCTGAGCTGCCTGAAAAAAAGAGAAAAAAAACATGGTCACACTGAAACACAATAGAATAAAGCATCTTAAAAGTTCTGATTAAAAACAACAACATAGCACTTACAAATCCTGGGAAATCATAGTCAATGCCTTTTGCTGCCAGTCTCTTGCGTAGCTTAGACTCTTTGCTTAAAAGCTTAGCACCAAGTTTCTTCAGATCATCTTCCGCGTGTTCTTTGTTGTACCGGGTAACTGCAGGCTGCTTTGGCTTCCTGAAGACCATCTTGGAGCCAACAAAGAGCTTTCCATGGACCTTCTCGGGTGGTATCACATGACCTGAACAGGACAAAACACAGTAATATACTTACAGCATACCATGTAAGAAAATATTCATGGAAAATCTTTCAAATCACTCTCAACTCACACTTTATGAGCCGTTCTCCCATAAGGTAGTTGTTCATGGTTTCAGCCACAATCTTAGCCACCTCATCACACTCAAACTCCACATATCCATAGCCTTTGCTCCCTCCGGTCTATGAAAGATGACAGTTTAATAATAATATTAAAGTTAAAATCTCAAGGCATTACTTGCTAGTATGACTATTGTGTGTTTATAGTGTTGGCACATGGGTTTCATTGCACAACAACATGGAGTTGCCAATAAGCTAAATGTGCCAGATTACTGTCGGCACAATTATCTTACCCAAAACAACAAATGCCATGGGTAATTTTCATATTGTGCCATTATCAGTTTTGTTAAATAAATTAACTACATGTACAGAGAACACCCCCCTCTTTATAAATTGACAGAAGTATAATGCTCTAAACAAATGGATTGTAAAACACGTGCATTACAATTACAAGTACGTCATACCTTTTTACTCCTGGAAACTCTTAATCGTGAGACTTTCCCAAACTGTTCAAAGTAAGATTTCAACTGAGGCTCGCACAATCCTCGAGGAAGATGACCAACGTATATTACTCCTGCAGAAAGTGACTGACTCTGAGGGGGGGGGGGATCAAAATTAATATCACATTCAATGCAAAATATTAGGCAAGGCAACTAAACACTTAAGCACGTCAGACAAAATGGCAGCATAAAGACTTCAGTAAATTAGTGTCATTAGATTTAATAAGAGGATTTTTCTTTCCGAAACTAATTCTGGCTAATGAAGACGACTGATTAGATGGCAAATTCAGCTGTAACCATGCTTCAAAATAAAGCTAAATGTTTGTCAGGCTAACTTACACTCAAGCCACATGGTCACGCATCATACCTTTTGAGGACGTTTCTTCGCTTGCTGGACCTTCTTATGAAACTCTGCTTCTTCCTTTGGATTCAAAGCCAGCAGGGTTTTCGCCGGCTTCTCTGATGATTTGCCTTCTGTCATATTTAAATATAAAATTGGTGAAATAAATGCGTTTTAGACCTAGTGTCGTACTACGTCTTGTAACCCACGCTGCTCTTCTTTCAGGAAACTGGCTGCTTCATTCAGGAAACGTCACAATAAAAGTCCACTAAAATAAAAGTCCGCTATATGTAAAACGTTTTTAAAAAAAATGTAAAACTTATTTATTACTCCTCCTCCATTGCTCTTATGGTATAGATTGATTATATATTTTGCTATTGTATACTTATTGTGTTTTAATTAACATGATAACTAAATAATACTAAAACTTTTATTATACAGTTAGACTCTTGCTTTGACCCTAGTAACTTATGCCAGCAGAGGTGGACAAAGTACACAACTTCCTTACTTGAGTGAAAGTATACTACTGGTGAAATATTACTCACAAGTAAAAGTTGTAAAGACTGGTTTTTACTTAAATAAAAGTACAGAAGTAGGCCTACTTGTTTTTAAAAGTAGCTACTTAAGTATCAAAAGTAAAAAGTAAATGTCAATGCATTGTTTTATTATTGTTGTATGTAATACAGTACCTGCCTCTGAATCTATGCCTGCCTGCCTACCCTCATATCAAATGTCAAATTTATTTCTAGAACACAGTTCCAGTAGTGGGATTGAATGTGGTTGAATAAGTGCACTCAATAACGTTCACAATGGTTCGGACAGCCAAATGGCTGTTCCCTCAAATAGTGCCCTATATTTTTTTTTTTTTAATTCTTTTAGTATGAATATGTTAGCCTTACTGTTATCTATTAGCTAGTGTGCTCCAAAACAATGACAAAATTCGCATTTAGAAGACCAAACCCAAAGTTGAAAATGAAAATCAGGTTGATGTCAGTTGACGTCAACCCGACTTTCATTTTCAACCAGAATGCAACCCCTGCAACCAAAATCATCCCCTGACTGACCTTACTACTTTTTTACTCAAGGACCTTGACAGAATTGTAATGGAGTAAAAAGTCAGATTTTTGTCTTTCAAATGTAGTGAAGTTAAAGTAAAAAGTTTCCAGAAAAAAATACTCAAGTAAAGTACAGATAGCCTACTCAAAAAGTAGGCTACATGTAGGTTACTGTCCTGTATGCCAGTGTGGATTTACTTGTTCACCCAACATTTATTAAAGGATTTTAAGCTATTAAAGTGACTTGAACTGGCCATTTGAACACACAATAGATGATCAGCTGCAAAAATTGTACGTTATATTTAATTATAAAAAAATTAAGCCATTTCTAAGAATTAGCCTATGTAGGCTAATTACAAACATGCAATGATTTTAAATGTGAAAGAAAAATAATAATATTAATACTAATACTAATTTTTAATAAGCACACTGAGATTAATTAAAAAAAACATTAAACATTTAGCATTTAAAATCCATTAAATTTTTTTACAATTCAGGTACAGAATTAATAACTTTCAGAAATACAGAGCAGGGTTGAGGATGAAGGGGTTGGACTCCATAGAGATGTTGAAAAAAAGGGGGCGGAGTTTTGAAAGAAAGGCTAAATCACTGATGTTAAACTGTACACACAGCCTATCATTCAGCAATGGTGAGAGTGCAGCAGAGCATCATGGCAACTAAAATCATTTATTTTACTGTGAATGGAAGACCAGAACAAGCTGAGTTTCCCATAGACTGTCCTGCACAAGATGTTAAAGGTAAGGATTGTCTCAAATGATCCATTTCTTTTAGTCTGACTGGAATTTTATACTTATTTAAACAATAAACTGTCAAGTTTTTTGGTGTGCTGTACTTCAAGGCACGCAGTTAAATATATGCTCAAATATAAAAATATAAGTTAAAATATATCTCCAAAGTGTATTGTAGTAGTGTATTGAGATGAGATGAATGTTGAACTGAATAAAAATAAAAGCCTACATTTATTAAAATTAAATTAATGTAAATTATTCACTATATAAAATGTAATTATTATATACGCATTATTATATTATAGATTATCAGATTAAAAAAAAGCAGATTGTAAAAGTAGTCTCGCTCTATGAACGACAGCAGCTTTAATTAATTCATGCATCAACATCAAATAGGATTTCTTATATGAAAATGCGTTTTTGTTATGACCAAATTGTCTCTCTGCCCTCATTAGCCTTTATTCTGCTAAAAACATCCTTGACGACTGTTCTCAATCTCATTCTGAAGGGCACTGCAACAGCCAGGCTTCTTTAATCAGGACCTCTCAATTACAGCGAGCCCATATGAAGAGCTATTATGTTGACCTGGATAGCTAATAGGCTACAACATAAGATATGTTCAGAGGATGTTTAATCTATAAGTATCCAGTTCTCTAGAGACCTATCAGGGCTTTAATTAACTTTTTATATGTCTTCCGTATTTTGACTCAGTGTGCATGGGTCAATTTGCAGTAACAGATAAACCAACTCGTAAAAAAATAAACCATCATACTTCAGTTAGACAGCTTGAGTCACAGGTGGTGCTGACAGTACACCAGACTTCAAGTGCCAAGCAGTGTCCTAAAGGGACCATATGGCACCAATATTCAAGTGCGTTAATTACATGAATTGAGGAAGTTTCCATTGTACTTCATTCATGAAGAGGAGAAATATGAT